TAATCAATAGATACTGCTGGCTTGTTCGCCTGCAAAACAAAAATAAAAAGAGTGTTTCTTGTAAGTTGTGCTGATACATACTCACGTCTAGTAGAACGTAACATGAAAACCCCCTTTTAACATTACAAGCTCCATCATGAGCACAGTAAGGATAATTAGCCACTGTTGTTTTGCCTCCACCTTTCTTAATGAACTCAAAAGCATATTCCTAAAACCAAAGATAAAAAAAGTGCAGCAAGTATGAGTTTCTTCATTTTCATTAATTTGCTAGACTAGGACGCAACACAAGATGGGATATGACTAGGAACTATTGATTGCCATCTCATAAAGAATGGAAGGAAAAGAATGGTGGGAGATAAGTAGATCAAACTTCAAACCAGAAACAGTAAAAAACATGAAAAATAAATGAAGTTACAAGTTCCTTAAGGGCATCGATTATCTATAATAATAATAATAACCGATAAAATTACAGCAATCACCATCATATAATTTTGATTCTTTTCATTCATATGAACTCCGCTCACTCCGTTTCTTTCGGGTTTTTTTTTCTTTTCAGAAATGAACTGTTAAAAAGATTATGAAATTGAGTGAAGTATTCTTTAAATGAGGGAATTGGTAGCTGATAATTAATTTATTTTGGTTTTTCCAGCAACTAGCTGACGAGATCATTTCTGTTTATTATTACGTTTGGCACTACTACTCTTTTCTCTAAGGCTTTGACTATTCAGTTTGGCAGCCAAGCACCTCTGTTTCTATTTAAAGTGAATTCATGCATTGCTACACTCTTCTGAAATGAACAATATCATATTGAAATTTGGAAACGGTAACTCCAGGCTCCGGTCACCACGTACCTCTGTACCTAAGAAGTCAGCCAGTCTTCTGATTTTCTCACCGGAAAGAGTACATGCTATAAACGTCCTCCTACTATAAACTACCCAGCTTACATCATCCTTAAACTGAAAAGTCTTTGCATCTATTTTCTCACACGTCATAGGTGTCCCTAAACTAGGTGAAAAATAGATGTTGCCCAATTTCATAGTAAATTACAACGATATCATTAGAAGAGTAAGTATTAGGTATAAATAGATGAAGAATATTTTAACAATTGAATAAAGAGTTGGTAAATACAAATGTGATGAAAGAAAAATTAAAGAAAGAGAGAGATTTGAAATTAGAGAGAGAGAACCAGGAGGAGAGAAAGAAAGGAGAAGAAAGAAGAGAAAGGAAAATAAAAGAGAAGAGAATTAAAAGAAATGAGTTGTTAAGGTAAGGTTTATGCTTTAGATGCTTTTGTTAGAAATAATGATTTTGAGATTAATTAGTTTAAGAATATTGTGAAAAACCCTTAGAAATTTATAGTTTATTTCTTAAACTTTGGAAAAACTATAAATTGATCTCTAGAGCATAATTCTATGTTCAGGATAGAATTGAAGTAAAATTTCATTATAGTTATGGATTTATAACATTCTCATTTTGATCCTCCAATTTAGAAAAATTACAATTTAACTTTAAAAATCTAAGAAAATTATAGATTGGTCCCTAGTTGAGATTTTAGTTTTTCATATTGGTTTAACGAATAATTGAGGTTTATTTGATAAATTATTATTAATTTTTATGATTTATTTTCTTTTAAATTAGATTTAAAAAAACTGTTTGATTTTTGAGTTTTTAGCAACAAAAAGACTAGTTTAGTTCATAAACATATAGGGTCATGGATTAGACCATAAATTAAGTAAATTAAATAGATTATATGTTCTTTTTTAGTTATTTATCGGTATGTCTCCTTTTGTATTTAGATAATTCTGAAATTTTACTTACAAGATATCAGTAAGATTGCATTTGGTATCTATTTCCTTGTTATTTCTACTTTTGATTCAGATGAGTGAATAACTTTTCATATACTAGAGAATTAGTACAAATACTTGAATTATTAATATGAAATTTATCGTGCTTCTTAGTAATTCTTATATTGTTATTTATTTCTTTTTTATGATTAAGCATGATCACTTGTTAAAATTGAATCTTTGATATAAACTATTATATGTTTTTAAATTGACAGTTTCTCATTTCATTGATGTTATGAGTTGATTCTTGGAATATGAATATATTTATTTGAATATGATATAAACTTATAATATGTCAGTCAGAATACTCATGTTAACCCTATTTGGTCGAGGGAGTCATCAATATGTGGTGATTAATCATCTCACAATACAGAACGTCATGCTTATTGTATTGTGATTTTTAACAAGCCTTACCTTATGATATTCTTGTTATGACTTGTTTATTCTTGTTATGGCTTGTTTAAGAAACTTTCTTATAAGAACTTAAATTCATTTGTGTGTGTGTGTGTGTGTGTGATTATTGTATTATCTCGTGTAAATTTTTATTGAACGTTATTTACTCATTGAATTATTGAACTCGCATTCTCATTATGTATTTTTTTTTAGGCTTATAGCTTGTTAGCATGTCACTTTTATTAGACTTGAGAACTTTTTTTTGTTGTAATTAATATTTTTTTCATTATGTCTAGTTAGTGCTCTGCAATTACGATATTTGTATTAACTCTTGTATTAAGATAATCAATTTATATTATAAGGTTAGTTATGTTATCATATTACATAGAACTCTATTTTGTTTATATAGGTAGAAAAGTTTATATGTAAGTTTGGGTTTGTATAAAGGGACCTTGTCTATGTGTCAGTCATGAATATGAAAATCAGGTCATGACAAACTTGGTATCATAGTGTCAGTCATGAATATGAAAATCAGGTCGTGACAAACTTGATATCATAGCCTTAGGTTAAAGAAACAGTAATATAATTAATTTTATAATAAATGGAGCATTAGGATCTATATTGTTTTTTCCGTTGCCTTTGAAATTATAAATTTTCATGTAGCATGTCTTCTTTAACTCTTTATATTTTGTGATAGATATGTTTTTATATAATTTCATGATAATTATCATGTTATTGTTCTAGCATAACTTAAATGTTCTTGTTTTTTTAATATGGAAAATGCCTAGGAATAAATAAATGGTTAGTACTAGCAGATTAAGTGACGATCAAGATGACATCTTTATTATGCAGTTGAGAAATACAAGGCAGAGGAGGGGTGGTGCACCCGTACCTTGACATGTTGATGAGATACCTTACCAGTGGAAGAGAAGCCTTAACAGTTAAAAAAGAAAAATATGGTTGGTGAAATAGGTGTGAGGGTAACTGACCTTGAACCTATTATAAAGTTTCAGCAACTTAGCCAAACCATGTGGACTTCAATAAAGTTTATTATAAAAATAGATATGAGAAAGGATAGAGATATACAAATATCATCCCACACTATTTAGGGAGTTAATATGCCATTGAATAAGGACTTCATGGAGTTGGTATCTTCTACCTTCAAATATCATCCCACACTATTTAGGGAGTCAATATGCCATTGAATCATTATGATGGACAACTTAGAGAATCCTCAAAGGCTCTTAGATTACATTTGGCGGCATTGTGAAGCATTAGGATGTACGAATCACTGGGTTGTGAGTTTGGTGCCGTTTAGGATGGAGGGAGATGTGAAAATCTTTTGGTTTGAAATAGGAAGAGAGCAAGGCCAGCAGAGACGTAGTGGACATGAAATGAGTTTAACATCATTTTCTTAAATAGATTTCTCTCTTAAAGTGTTAAGATCGATGCTTGACTTTATAGTTTGTGATTGATACTCGACTTTATGGTTTTGTGAGACTGTCTCAGGGGATCATGACATTTAATGAGTATGATATAAAGTTCACTCAGTTATCCAAATGTGTAAAACATCTTCTAATAATTGAGGAGTGGAAAGTGAAGAGGTTCATTAAAGGACTTAAATCCTTCATATATGTGGTGATGGTATCTCAGGTGTTTCCATCCCACTCCTTAGTTGTTGATAGCTCCAGGTTGATAAAGGCACAAGAATTAAAGAACATAGTCACAGGTTAATCTAAGAGCCTAAAGAAATGGGTCATTTTTTTAGACAACAAGGATCTAATGCAATTCCATCTAGGGAATGAAGTGACTGTCAGGGCTCATGGGTTCTAACAAAGATGGTGGCAATAATTTTTGCTTTGAAGATTTGAAGGCACTAGTATGGAAAAACTTGTAAGATCTTTACAGATCATAAGCGTTTAAAATATATCTTTCATCAAAGAGATATAAATCTAAAGCAAAGAAAATGGATAGAGTTATTGAAGAATTATAATTGTACCATATAATACCACCTAGGCAGGACAAATATAGTTTTCAATGCTTTGAGTAGAAAATCATCAAAGTGCTTAGCTTATATTGAGGAGGTACAAAGACCATTGATTAAGGAGATGCATGGGTTAGTAGATTGAGTCAGGTTTGACCTTAATGAAATTGGAGTAATGATTTCACACTTTAATGCAAAGTCAAACTTGTTTGATAAGATAAAAATAGCTCAAAAGAGAGATAATTCGCTACTCGGAATTAGAGATAACGTTTAACAGGGTAAATCTACATGTTTTGTGATTGGTGATAATGATATGTTAAGCTATGAAAATAGGCTTTATATACCTAATATAAATGATCTAGGGAGAGAATTGATGACAGAGACATCCGACAGTCTACACAGTGTATCCAAACTTCACCAAGATATATAAAAATCTTAAGGTATGTTATTGGTGGAATAGAATAAAGGCTCATGCAGTAAATTTTGTTTTTAGGTGTTTGACATATTAGATGGTAAAAGAAGGTATGTTATTGGTGGAATAGAATAAAAGCTCATGCAGTAAATTTTGTTTTTAGGGTAAACCTCAAAATTCGCTCAGGTTGTTGTAACCATTATTGATTCTATAATGAAAATGTGAGAGGATTACAATGGATTTTATGACAAGATTACCTAAGAGTCAGGAAGGTTATGATGAAAACGAGCTTTCCTTGTTCTCTTTCATGTTTCTTACATTGTGCAATTGAAGTTCTTGAAACATTTATTCATCTTCAATATGTAGTATAAGATTTTAAGCAATTAGATCAAATGGGTGACATGTTATTTTTAAGATGCCAATCTGATAAAGTAGGAAAACAACTGAAATGGGTAGCAAATCTGAAACCAAATCATATTGAATGTGTAGTTCAGAATTTATCAAGATCCGGTTCCTGAAGGATTAGTTAAGGAGTCCTTGATAGGATATCGCATGTGTAGTTTAGAGTTCATCCTTGGGGGAAGATCTGGCTCCTGAAGGATTAGTTGAGGAGTTCTTGATGGGATACGAAGCCTCCATTGCAATACCACAGAGTCCCTCTTTGTCAGAGATGCCACGCTGCATCCTGATGTAACCTTTCTCTCCCCATTCAGGTCCCCAGGAATTTCTCACGACCCAGTACTTAGTTCCATCAAGAGTTGTTCCATAGCCCACAATTGCCACTCCATGATCCAGCTCAGTTCCGCATTCTCCAGTAAATACACCCTGCATTTCACATTAACTTTGTAAATTTATTAACTCATCTAAAATAAGCATGTAAATATTTTGTTTTAAATGCTAGTCATTTTTCCGACTACACAAATGAACATGCCAGTTTATCATCTTCGCACAGTGGGAATGCTTGCATGGAATTGAAATTAACAAAGTATTTCTGTGACTTTCTGAAATTCACCTCCGAGTAGAACTGGAAATCTGAACCCCCAGCATCTATGGCTACAGATACTGGTTGGTTTGCAGCAGCTTTCAGTAATGCATCCTCATCATTTTCAGGAACTTTCTCATACCCATCAATAGACACTACCGGCTTGTTTACCTGTGAAAACAAGAGTTTTACTTTTATTTTGTGCCGATCATAATTTAGTTCAATGTGACTGTAATATGAAATAAAACCTTTTCAACATCACAAGTTCCATCTTCAGCTTGATAAGGATAAGTAGACTCTGTTGTTACACCTCCCTTTTTCTTAATGAACTCAAAAGCATATTCCATTAGCCCTCCATTACATCCTTGATTTTCTGTAGTGTCACAATCCACCAACTCTTGCTCAGACAAAGATACTAGCTTATTTGTCTTAATATAATTAATACCCTCAACTGCAACTATGGTTGAAAACGCCCAGCAACTTCCTGTACCACATTGAAAAGGATTTAAGGATTAAACTGCAAGCAAGAAAGGATCAAAATAAGCATTGCTGTTTTATAATAGTTCTATGCTCAAATGTAGCCTTTCTTTCTACTTAATCAAATATATTTTTTGTTCCTTTGTACATTGGTGCTGGATGCATGAACGAATTATAAAATAGAAACAAATAAGGTGAACCTTCACTATAAGAAATAGAAAATGAACCTTACCACATTGACCCTGGTCCTTAACGGCAGTCACAGCACCCTTCTTCCTCCAGTCAACAGATGATGGGACTTTGTCAACCTTCTCATACATGAAGCTCCCATTTCCTCGAGTTGTCGTCCCACAAAACATCCTATGACGTTTAACCTTCGAGCCAGCGTAAACAGACCTAAATTCGTGGTTAGTCATGTCTGCAAACTTGTTCAACTTCAACTTATAGGGCTTATCCATCTTGTTAGTTTTGTGGACATGTATGACATTTTCCTTGAACACATTGAAAAGCTTGTGTTTCTCATCAAGACTTGTAGAAACAGTGTGGTGACTCCTCCACCTCTCATATAAATCCCACAAACTTTCCTCAGATTCCAAATCCTTTCCATGAAAATCCAAACTTTCAGTGATTCCTAAAACCAAAGCTAAAGAAAGAGCAACAGGTAAGAATTTCTTCATTTCCATTTGCTAGACTAGAACTCAACACAACATGGGGTATAAGAAACTACTATTGATTGCTCTATATAGAGAAATGAAACAATAGTGGAAGATATTTAGATCAAATTGTAGAATAGAACAAAGGATAATAAATAAAGAAGTTACAAGTTTCTTATGGGCATCGACTCTGTATGCATATAAAGGAGGATATGGTGATAGTGTTCTTATAAAAATGGAGAACAAACTTCGTGTACACTTGGAGTGATTTCAGATATACAAGCAAGTACACATATAAACAAAGTCTAGTTCAATTCCCATGGAGGAAAAGGGAAGGATACAAGTTGTGCAGTTAACATTGAGAACTTCTGGGCATAGGGCATTTTACAGGATGATCCTTGCATGCAAAACACGCTATTGCACAATATTAATTAAAAAAGAGAGCCAAAAGATAGGGGGTGACGACTGATTAATAAAAATGGTTGCGTCCATAGAAGCTTTTGATCGAGCCACGATAGTTTTGCAAATTGGAATAAAGTTGCTTGCAACTGCTTTGGCTTGAACTGAATCTACTCATAAAAATCTTTGAAATGGTTTCGTTTTAAGAGGAGAAAGAGACTGGAAAAACTCTCAAGGCATTGAGTGAATTCTGCAAGTAATTCTATTTTCAGATCATGAAACATGAGAACTCTCCAGATTATGGTATGGAGCCACGTTCTTTGCATATGTGTGCCCACAGGCCACTGCCAAACTTTCCCATAAATTGAGCTTAAAAGAGCGTTGAATGAAAAGTTGATTTATTACCACCTGCTCCACCATGCAAAACTACACTTTAAGCTTTTCTTTTTCCCTTTTTCTGTTTTTTGGGATTATTTGAAGGGCCAATTATCCCCAGGTAGGTGGATGATGTGTAGCGGCAAGACATAATGAATGGCAAAGTCCAAATTCTATAAATTGGAATTAACTACATTTGTGGGCAAGGTATTGCTTGTATGACTTTTCTAGCGTAGTGTGCAGGTGACTTATCCCTTTACAACACAAAACACACACAAAATAGAGGGAGAGAGAAATCACTTGCACGGTTATAGAACATCCATGAAAGAGAGCGAGTCCAGCTTAGCTGTACAGTTTCAGAATTTTTCAAAAAACTAGTGATCTCCCTTCTTGAATGATTTTGATCTACTACTATTACTTACGAACTACAAGACGGTCATGATTTTCTGCAAGACTTAAAGGGATTCCGTGCATTGATCTTCAAAGAAATTATTGTAGGCATAAACTCTAGCTCATATTAAGACTTCATTAGATAACAAGAAGATCAAGCCTCAACCTACACGGTGGGCATGAGAAACATACTTTCAAGACCAATGTGGTTTTGTTACTACAAACAGTCGAGAAGATGATTGCAGAACGCAGGACCAACTACAGAATGTAGAACAACGAGAGTACCAATTATCATCCATCTAATATTACGGAAGATCTATAAGCTACATGATCAACAACGGAGATACAGCAGTTCATTGAATCAATTTGACATTGCAGAATCATCTTAAAACAGTGGCCATGCTGTTTTTAGCATACCATATCTACCACACCTCAACTCATATTGCCCCTTGAAGATTTTAACCCCCAACCAAGTCCATCTGTTAAAGCTCAAGAACTTCATGTTCAGGAATTCAGTAATAGCAATTGCAGGTAAAAGAATTTTAGATAAGATGAAGCTGAAATCACATCAAGCCATCTAGGAAATGGAACGCCCATGTTCCTCTTTTGTCTTTAGAGCCAAAGAATGCTGAAGAGGGTTTATTAATTAATAACTCTTCATGTATGATCAATTACGGCATGTAACTCTTTCAATAATTGTAGTTATTGCTTCAATAAACATTAAACAATTTTGATATGTCATCCGTCAGGAATGAAGAATAACCAACATGAGGCAAGAAGTGTTGGCATGACCAAGCTAATTTGCCAATTCCTTTGTTTTCAGTGACACTGTTTTGTGAAGACACAGACCAACCATGCAAATAACTCATACAAGAGCATCCTTTCCTTTAGCTTGCTGCAATGGCTCTTCTTTGACCCTCTTGATCTCCATCTCATTTTCAAGTCTTTCTTGCTGAAATGATGAAAGAAAACCCAATTGATGTTGAGATATTTACACATAAAAACTGAAAATCCAAACATGAATTGATAGAACAAAAGGTATAAAAGACAAGCTCCCTAAAGCAAGAAGAAGATGAATTAAAATTGTTCTTGAACGGCCAAACAGGAGATTTTTCTAACTCTGTATATTACTCTTCATGCTTTGCATGCATACTTTCAATTAAAATGCAGTCTCCTTACACTGCTAAGAAGATGAATTAAAATTGTTCTTGAACAGCTAAACAGGAGATTTTTCTGACTCTGTATATTAACTCTTCATGCTTTGCATGCTTACTTTCAGTTAAAATTCAGTCTCCTTATACTGTTATCTACAATACACAAAATTGCCATTCCTTCTCCAAACAATGAAATCGACTCAAAACTATTTTAAAACCACTATATTTGTGTTCCGAAACAAGTGTAGCCTTTTCCCTATCAAAATTAGCTGCAGGACATGAGTTTTCTGCGAAAACCAGCCATATCAATGATGTACTAAATTCCCATGTCTGCTTGGGCCTGTTTGGGTTCGGGTACAACCTCTTTTTTTATTGAAATTAAAAAAATTAATTTAAATTATTTTTTAAATATTTTTAAATTATTTTAATATACTGATATTAAAAATAAATTTTAAAAAATAAAAAATATAATTTTAATATGTTAAAAAAAAATATCTTATGAAACTTCACCTCATCAAATAACCTTCTCAAATATAAAGTTGTTTGAAATTGTTAGCTTATGATTTGTTCATTATCCTGCCAGTGTGGTTGATATGGATTAAAAAAAAAAAGTGGATTTGAAATTTCTTTTTTGGAAGTTAACTCATATTTTAATTAAATTGATAAAATAAATTTTGAATTGACCTTTTTAGGTCAAACCTAAGTTAGGGAAGGATTAGCCGGGCCTAATATCAATGCATTGAAATTGTAAATTAGTGTTTACTAATTTACTGCCTGTGTTATATTATGACTTATACTAAAATAAAATTAAATGCAAAAAAGTATTCTAGTTGGTGATAATTTTTTAATATTATTTTCTAATTTAGTTTAATAAATCAAACTTGAAAGTTTTTTACTCGAGTTCTTATTCAGTTCAGCTTTTCAATTAAATTATATAAAAAAAATTATGTAATTTAATCCATCTAATAAATCTAAAAATAAATAAATAAAATTAAATGATAAAATATTAACATACAAAACAGACTAAACATGCATGTTTAAAGAAAATATGGAGGACTATTAAAAAAAAAGTTTTTGACTTAAAAAAGAAGAAGAAGAAGTTGGTCTTTTTTTAACCTTCAAGCAATGATTTATTAGGCTAATTTTAGTTAATCAAATTAATTTGTTAAATTTATAATGAGTTGTGGATTTTAATAAGTTTAATAAGATTTTTTTTATTTTAATTATATAATATTAAATAAATATTAATATTAAATTAATTAAATAATAAATAATAAAATTAAAAAAATTATTTAAACTCAATCTTAAAGGTTTTTGAAAGAAGGTTAGGCTATGCGGATGGACCTTAATTACCCTTTAAAAAGCGAGTTATTTTCATATTCTTGCCTCATTTTTTTTCTCTTAACAAAAATATCTAATAAACACTATAAAAATCTTTATAAACCATATAATACTATCAAATACTCCCATATCATCCACAAAAAACAAAATCAACTGAACCCAAAAAATCAAAATAAAACTCATTATTTTTTTTCCAAACATGTTTATGAATAAAACATACCATCATTAAATTATCCCCGTTAAATATAACTTATTAATACTAAATTTAATGATGTTATCGTCAATATTATGACAGCCAATTATTTGTTTTCTCCCATTGTTTCCAATAACTTTCTCTTTCTCTTTTTAAACCAGAAATTAAAAAATAGATAAAATAAAACTTTAAATCAAAATAAAAAATTAATTTCGAATTTAATAATATATAATTAATCAGTAAAAAAATACAATTGGAAAACAAAATCATCAATGACCGACCTTAAGCTTCTTCTTAGTTTCTGGTAATTGGGATTAGTTTTGGAGCCTTTTCCAAATGATTTAGACAAGATTTTAAGAACGACCTTCAAGAAAATTGTTCACATCATGTCCACTGCAGCATCAAGATGCTGTAACACACAGCTACTAATTTACTGTAACTGAGACTGAAAGAACTCCATTTTCCATTCAACCAAAGGAAAACAAATAGAGGTTAGTATAACAAGCTCTACAATTCCATGACGCAGTTCTGTAACAAGAAACAAGGCACACACTGAAAACCATGAATTAAACCGGAAAAAAATGCCCAAATAATTTCCCCATCCTTTTCTTTCCTTTCTACTTTCTTATCCCCTCCCCTACAGCATATTTAAACCACCAATTTTACAAATGATTTTGTATAGTTACCGAATTCTCTCCAACCAGTCGACACTCTTCCGTGCTTTCTCTACCTGTACGTCAACACTTTTTCTAGATTTATCATAATATTCCACGCTTCTCCGTGATCTCTCCATGTGCTCAAAGGAGACCTTTAACTTTTCTAGCTTGTCTGTGTGTGTAAACCTGAATTCGTGAAATTTCATTTTTTCAGTCCTGTCAGTGCTCTTCCTCGGTTTCTCCCTCCGATCAGTACTCTTCCTCGGGGCCTCAAAACAATCAGTGCTTCGTCTGGCCTGTTCAAACCCATCTACACTTCTCCTACCGGAACTTCTTCCAGATGGGGATTTCTCCACTGTTGTTATAAACTTCTTTAGATGCCTAAGATACTCTGGATACAGCTCCAAATTACAGTGATTACCTCCTTTGAGCCATAGAGGTTCATATTTCTCTTGGCACAGCTCCCAAAGTTGCTTGCCATGGGAGCAGTCAACCACTTCATCAGCAGTTCCCTGCAAGAAGAAAGTCATAAGGATTGATGCTTGAAATTTCTTAGCAGGGTCCAACAAGAAATTGCCAAATGGGAACAAGAAAGCCGAAAGGGATCACATAACTCAAAATAA